TGTCTGGTGTGGGGCTTCCGCCTTTGGTGACTTGCTGGGAGGACTCACAGACCCCAGATGTAGTTATATGCACGCATGGTCATGGTTACCATGGAGAAAGGACATGCACTCAGCAGGTGGAGGCTCCAGGAGGAGTCCAGGGCAGGTTTCCACAGTCCTCGCTCCTGGGGTGGAGTCCCACAGAGCACGGTCTGGCTCTGGCTGTGAAATGCGGCCATTGTGCACAGCCCTGCCCAGGGAAGCCTGCTCGAGACGCAGAGTCTCCTGTCCCTTCATGGGCTGGTGGTGTATATAAGCACCACCCTCAGCCATACGACCAGCCTTGGTTACTGAAATTCCAAACTCCTAGAAGGCATTCACCACAAATGGCATTGTCTGTCCAGTGGTCTAGACAGGTGGTACGGCAGGCTTCAGTGCCCCAGGAAGACGAAGCCGCCTTGCCCGGTAGAGACTAGGCAGCTTCCCAAAAGCCAAGCTCTCAGATGCCAGACGAGCACCAGCTGGACCAGGAGACCCTTCCAGAAAGCAACATCAGGATGCTGGGCTCACCCTTTCCTGCATGTGTCTAGCCAATGCTTTTTAATTTATTCTTTTTAGATATACATGGCCGTAGAGTGCATTTGGCATATCATACATACATGGAGTATAACTTCCCGTTCTTGTAGGTGTACGTGATGTGGAGTTAAACTGGTCATGTATTCACATGAACACAGGAAAGTTATGTCCAATTTATTCCCTGTCTTTCCCATTCCTATGCCCCTCCCTGCCTTTCGTCCTCCTTTGTCTAATCCAATAAACTTCTATTCTTCCCTTCCCACCCCCTTATAAGAGTATTATCAGAGAGATCATTCAGACTTTGTGTTTTTTGGAATTGGCTTATTTTGCTTGGCATAATAATCTCCAGTTCCATCCATTTACCATCAAATGCTATAATTTCAATCTTCTATATAGCTGAGTAATATTCCACTTATATACAACATTTTCTTTACCCATTAATTTGTTGAAGGGCCCCTATATTTGTTCCAATAGCTTAATTATTATGAATTGAGCTGCTATAAATATTGATGTGGCCACGTCACTATAGTACGCTGATTTTAAGTCCTTTGGGATATGCCAAGGAGTGGGATAACTGTGTCAAATAATGATTTGTTTTCTGAGGAATCTCCATAATTGTTTTCCACAGTGGTTGTACAAATTTGCAGTCCCACCATCAGTGTATGAATGTACCTTTCCCCACATCCCTGACAACACTTATTGTTACTTGTATTCTTGATAATTGCCATTCTGACTGGAGTGAGATGAAATCTCAGTGCAGTTTTAATGTGCATTTCTCTAATTGCTAGTGATGTTGAATATTTTTTCATATATTTGTTGACTGATCGTGTTTCTTCTCTGTAAAGTTTCTGTTCTGTTCCTTTGCCCATTTATCGATTGGGTTTTAAGTTTTTTGAGTTCTTTATATATCCTGGAGATTAATGCTTCATCTGAGGTGTAGGTGACATGATTTTCTCCCCTTCTGTAGGTTCTCTCTTCATGTTCTTGTTTACTTCGCTGTGAAGAAGCTTTTTAGTTTGATACCATCCCATTTATTGATTCTTGATTTTACTTCTTGCACTTTAGGAGTCTTGTTGAGGAAGTAAATTCCTAAGCTGATGTGATAGAGATTTGGACTACTTTTTCTACTAGTAGGTGCAGGGTCTCTTTTTAAATTGGATCGTTCATCTTATTTTTGTTGTTGTTAGAGCTCTTTACATATTCAGGAGACAATTATTAAACATGCATTTTGCAAATGTTCCCTCCTAGTCTGTCTTTTCGTTGTCTGAAACTTCCAGAAGGAGTTTGAGCAGGGAGGTGATGTGACCAGATTTGCACACAAATCTTATGTGGAGAATGAATTGCAGGGCCAGAAGTGGATTGGGGACTTCCATTAGGAGGTCACTGCAGCAACAGTAAGAGACGATGGCGGTTGGGCTGGGGGGCCCTGTAGTGAGGGGCTGTGGAAGGCAGTATTCACGGGCTGTGCAAGCACACCACGGACTTCCAACAGGCACAAGGAAAGCCGTGCTCCTCAAACCTGTCCATGGAATGCATCGTTAGTGTCGTTTTAAATAGTGAAACTCCCATTCATTTGTGGGACTTTATGATAATGGAAAAACGGGAGACCAGATGAAATTGAGGGTCCCTTCTAGTCTATAGTGCCATGGACAATCCTTTTACTTTAACAGTACTAAACTGTTCTGAGGCTCATGTCTAGGCGAATTATTGTAGATTATGTATTAGTCACTTGTGTGTGTAGCTGTAATACCCAGTTTGGGTCTAAGAAAATAACTTCATGACTGAATTGAATTGCAGGGTGCCCTCTGCAAAAAAGAAGAGCAGAAACATTGCTCCTATAGGAAGCAGGAAGATCAGGATAAGAAAATTCATATTCATGTATTAACCCAATTACCAAACGTACCTTGCAAATCCGGAGCACAATCAGTTTAAAATGGGATTTCACATCATCCTGTCCCAAGTGACACAGACAGGATTATAAATGAAAAATTCTTTCTCCAGGCAAGGATACAGCGCTCCTCTCATTTGGGCAGCAAATGCTATCACAGGAGAACCTTTACTTAAGACTGGAAATTCTATTTACCCAGGAGCCAAAACCACTGTTTTTCTGTTCTTGCAAAATAAACAAAACAGTCTGGCAAACTAAATGCAAATAGAACCCGGGGGAATGGGAAGGAATGTGAAATCAGGTGTGCAGGTCAGAGTCAATGCAGTACGCCAGGGCCACAGCCGAGATACATATTTTCCCTTCTATTAAAAAAAATAGAGGATACATGAATCAATAAGGCAAAGCAAGATAAGAGAAATTAAGATGCATATATACATGTGTGCATGTATACATAGATATTTTAATAAAGGTTTGTTGTGTTTTTTACTTTAGAAAGAGACAATGGAAAGGCTCAGAAATTCATGCCTTACCTGGTGGAAGCCATATTATACAGATGTGGATCAGGGAGATGAGGACTTCTCTAGAAAGCCTGCTGGGTCTGGTGCCTTGAGACTAGGGAGAGACTGGACAGGGAGATGGTAGCAGGCAAGGTACCTGCTCTCAGGTGCACGATGTAATAACTGATGCTTTCTTGAGGAAGTGATGATGAATCCTGCTCATCGTGGTACTTATGTTGCCTTCTCCTGCCTCAGGGCCTTTGTATATGCTGTTCTTCCTGAAAGCCAGTCACCTCCATCACACCCAAGTCTTGGGAACACATCCTCCGTGTCTCAAGTCCATTGTCACTTCCCTGCTGTCTACACTGTCATCAGGCAAATCCATTTCGTGAAGCCCAAACTGTGTACACTTTCAAAGGCCCTTTTCCAGAAAAAGAATAGTAGGTCTACAGTGAGACCCAAGAGTGTTTCTAACCAGCACCTAGGGGGTACAAACACTGGCCCAGACTGCACTTTGAGTAGCAAATTTCTAGGCACTTAGGATATTAGGATGTATCAACAAACAAAACAGAGACCCCCCTGCCTGTGGGGAGTTGTCTATCTTGCTAGAAATGTGCTGAACCCAAAGAAGCATGGATAGGCTAAAAAAGAAACAAAGTCAGAAGTATTCAGAGTCTTAGAAAATGAGAAGGTAGGAGAGAATTTAGAGAATATCCAATCAAACTCCCATTTTAAAGGGAGAGAAACTGAGGCTTCCAGGGGAGAAGGGAGTTAGGCAGGTCACACTATTATGCTGTGGCAGCTTTTGGACAAGACTGTCTGATTCCTCTTCCCCTGAGTTCTGAGGTCTTCAGGGACCTTCTCAAGGGCAGAGTCCAGTAAGGGAGGGAAGTCTGGGGGTCTTAAATGAGTGTCCTACCCTCATTTAGTTTAAAATTTAGTTTGAATTTTACCGATATTGATTTTCTAATCTTGATTTCAGGCTACAACACAAATATTGGGGTATCTTAGAGGAAGCATTAGCTTTTCTTGCCTGCCCTTTGTTTTTCTGCACCATTAAATCTGTAACAAAGCTGAGCCAGAAGAGAGCTTTGGAGAAGCAAATTCCGAGTGCAGTCAGTGGTCAGCAGGTGTGGAGTCAACCCCAATCCAATCAGGCCCCCCAAAGCCCTTGCCTGACCTGGGGTGCAATGTCAGATCTGAACACACCAGGGGCCCCTGCTCCCTTTTGAGGCCACTTGAACAGAGGCACCGATCCAGTGCTTTGGATGAGAAAACTGTTTGCATGACCTTGAAAAGCGATTGTTTCCTGTGCTCCCTGGACCCAGGACACAAACTTTCAGATTCATGTTATTCCGGTAGGAACAGTAGCAAATTTCTTGGAGTGACTAAAAAGAAGAGCAACAGCCGGCACACCAGGCATTAATAATATAACAAAGGGAGAAAAAAAAAGAGAAACTTTTCATTAGCACTTTTTGATGTCAGTTTATTATTTATCCCTTTGCCAATATTCCAACAGGTAGGCAGTCATAAAACATTCAAAAACATCTAAAACAGGCATCTGTTTTACCTCCGTTCCTTTTTAGAAACAGGGAAACCAGAAGCCCTGGTATTCGGAGGATAGCAGTGTTAAAAATATTCGCTGTATCAAAAATAGTACTTGAGGATCGCGCCTTAGAAAGAGTTTAGTTGAAATCTGACGAAAGGCCCGCAGGCAGGGAGACGATGGTTTGTAAGGCAAGATGCAGAGGAAATCAGCAAATTTCCAAATTTCTGACTCCTCCGTTTAGTATTATTCTGTTTGAAACAAGGACGTTGACAAGGCCCACTGTTCAGTAATTAGCATCCTGTCAAATCCCGCCAATCAAGACCAGCATGCTGCACCTGGTCCTAGTTAAAAAATGCACGTGGGCAATTCTGCTCGGACCCTGGGGCGCACAGAATGGTGTTCAGTGTGCGGAGAGCTAATTACCATGCAGTGGCTGAGAGGGTCTACCTGATCCTCAGGACCCGCCCCATCATTTTAACTTCCTTGATAAGCGTCTGTCCTTGCTGTGGGGGCAGGTTATCTTGTCCTGGAGCAGGAGAGTCAAGACTTAAGGGTAACATCACTGTAGAAATAAAACAAATGAAAAATGCTGACCAAAAGCAAAACCCAAAGCAAAACAAAAACTGCACCGCCCCCTCCCGGGGGGCGCTGGGTGGAGGAGGGGTGGCTGAGTCCCTCCTAGCTCGTCTTTCCTTGGCTCCTCTGGGTGCCTGTGGCTTGCCAGGAACTGTCCTTGGTGTAGAGACCCTGGTCCCTGATGTAGGCGATGACCGGGTCAGGCAGCAGGTACTTGACGCTCTGCCCTTGGCTCAAGGCCCTCCTGACGTAGGTGGCGCTGATCTCGTTCTGCACGGGCTCCCTGGCCAGGTGAATGTTGTGCTGGTACCTCCGCAGGATGGGCGAGTCCAGGATGTACCCCTTGGGGTCGTGGCCCACCCGGCTCACGCACACCAAGCCAAACTTCTCCACTATTTCCTGGATGTGTGCGTCTTCCCAGAGGTTGGGGGTCTGGAAGGTCCTCAAGACGTCTGCCCCGCAGAGGAGTTTCAGCTGGGGCGCAGCTGTGAAAACAAGGGCGGGTCTCAGAGAAGTACCCAAGGCCGCCTGGAAAGATCAGGAGACATTCTGCCGGGGACTCGCGCCCAGTGCTTTTCTTGGAAGGTATTGAGAACTCAATGTTTCTGTGTTCCGCTCAAGAAAAAGCAAGCAATGGAATCTGAAACTGTTTCAGGGCATGTGGTTGTAAGTGATGATTTAATCAATACAGCTTTTGTTTAATTTTGGCAAAATGCCAAATGATACAAACAGGATCCCCCCCACCCCCCAGTGCTATAATGGATTTGTCTGTGATTGCAGGATCAGAGGCGGTCATGCTGTCCCCAGAATCCCCCTTTCTGAAGCAGGTAAGGGTTTTAAAGCTCTTGGACAAGTCACTGCCATATTTGGGATCCATGCCTGCCCTCCTGTATTAGGCACTAGGACCTGGTACTTCTACGGAAAACATCATCATGAAAGTGAGGTATAAAGAAAGGCCCTTGAATAACCAAAGAATCTTTAAGATCTTAGTTGGGGTCTTTTTTTTTTTTTAAAGAGAGAGAGAGAGAGAATTTTAATATTTATTTATTTTTTAGTTTTCGGCAGACACAACATCTTTGTTTGTATGTGGGGCTGAGGATCAAACCCGGGCTGCACGCATGCCAGGCGAGCGCGCTACCGCTTGAGCCACATCCCCAGCCCTTAGTTGGGGCCTTGTCATTTCCAGTATGACAAATCTCAGAACTCAGAGTTGGGTAAGTTTTGGGGATTTGTTCTATCATGCTGATTATGGTGAGAAAATAACGCTTAACATTAATTAGGTGGTCAGTACGGCATTATTACTCAACACTGTGTGTGTATAATACCATGTGATCCTCAGAACAATTTTATGAGGTAGGCATTTTGTGCCCATTTTGCAGAAGAAGAGACTGAGGCTCTGAGAGGCAAGTGAGGTCTTCAGCTAGTCCCAGAAGTCAGGAGTCAGGCAGCCAGCCTCCAGGTGGGGCATCTGTAACTGCTAGGCTCTGCCGCCGCCTGCTGGTGGGAATCTGTAGGTGCATCATAACTGGAGCACAGGGGACCAGCAGGGTTTTCCCACCCCCATTCATATTCTTGAAAAGGAAAAGCAAGGTCCATGCTAAAGCTTGTTGCAAGATCTCTGGTCCTTCCAGAAACCGATCTCAGCTTCAGTATATGTTGAAGTCTGGGCTCCTGGAGGGCTGGTATCTTTATCACCATGTTGCCTCAGGAAGGAGGGGCTACACTAGGGGTACAGGGTGGGTTTGGGCTCCTCGGTAGTGGAGCATTTGAAGGAATTTGGACATGGACCAGAGAGGAGGGTTTGCAAAGGAGTACTGGGCTGGCCATGGTTGGGGTGTGAGGGACGAATGGTGTCATGCAGAGGTCTGAGGTCTGGCCTCAGTTGGGCACAGGCTGCTATGGTACCAAGGCCTTCCCTTCTCTGGGCCTTGGTTTCCCCATCCCTGAGACAACAGGCACAGGACTTGTTCAAAGAGCCAGATGTAGTTATGGAAACACACTTTCCAGCCCCGCCCCAGCAGCATGCCATTGGTACAATGAATGACATTCAAACCTTCCATCCTTCACGCGAGTGTTAATTCTTGGTGGCTTCACACCAACACTCTAGCGCAGACACCTACGACTCCCATTCCTGCCCTGCCATTCAGAGGCTCATGTGATCTCTTAAAATGAGGCTGTGAGTAGTACTTACTTAGAGGATTATTTGAGAATTGAATAGGTCTATAAGTATAATGCACTTAGAAGAGGGGTTGGCACGGAGTAAGTGCTATTATGTGCTAACTGCCTGTAATTAATTAATTAACTCATCCATGTACCTATTTATCTACCTGTCTACTCACCAAAATATCCATTCAGCACTTATGAATCATCTCCTAAATGCCTGGCCTTTTAAAACTAATAAAGTTGCATGATAAAATTCATTTAGTAACTCACACTTTTCACTACTCTGGGTTGGTCTCATTGCTCACATTGTACATATGGACTTTCACTGTTCCTACAGCTAATTTCTTATTATTCAACCACTGATCAGTGTTTGGTTTTTCAAGAGTTGTGTGGGTTCTGTGGCCTTCCTGTGGGTGGGTGCTAAATGATGTCCATTTAATTCCAGGGTCTCCTGGGGCTTGGGGCACATGCCCTCTGTTTCCACAGGTCAGAGAACAGAGAAGACACCCCCTTCTTCTCCCAGTGGTTTATACGGGGGAAGTTTCCTCCTATTCGCTCTGTATTAGGTCTTGTTTGGTTTATTAACCATGAAAGGAAGGGGTACTATTCACTCTGACCCTTGCCTTGAGAGGACAAGTGCCCACACGTCCCCAGATCCCCATTAAGGCAGGTCTGTGAGGCCGGTGGTGCCTGTTATTCTGGGTGACATCATGCAGTGGATCTGTTCCTATGGTGACATAGGCCTCAGACCCCAATTCTGAGCTGTCTTGCCTTCAGGTCTCGAAAAGGCATCCACGTATCCCTTTCATGTCCCCTTACATCAGAGCTACGACATTTTCAGACGGGGTGACTGTGTCCAGGTCCAAAGTACCCAACTCCAACGAGCAGTGTAAAGGCTTTCAATGTGGTTTGTTCTAACGGTGACACAGTGACATGAACTGGGCATCCGTGGGCATTCTGGGGGAAGTGTGTTCTGCCTTTGAGTAGCTACAGGCTTGGCAAAGCAGAGGAAACCAAGATTTATGCGGGCACCCTGGGTTTGGATTTTAGATTGGCCGGCCCTCTGGAAGAGCCACCTAGCCAGTCTCTTCAGCTGTGAAGTGGGAACGTGAGCACCAAGACCACGGATGTTATGGAAATGGGAGATGGAGGAATGCAGTGTGAACGTCCCACCTGGCACAGCCACTAATGATGATGTCCGTCACAGAACCCCACAGACACTGAGAAGCATGGGACCCCTGGGTCCTAAACAGAGATGGCGCCAGGTCTAGGCATCTGAGGGGTGGTGCCCATGTTAACCATTCAGTGAAGAGTGTGTGCAGATTGAGCACCTGCTGATTAATGGAAAGGGACCCTCTGAGCATCACTGAGCTGGGCTCTGTCCCCGGGAGCCAAGGGCAGGGACCACCTTCACAAAAGACAGACAGCCAAACTCTAAAGGACGGGCCATCATCCACTCCCAAGGGTCTCACCCAAGGAGCTCCTGGACACAGCAACCCACAAGACTCTGGGTGAGTCCAAGGAGGACAGCAAATCACAGAAGTGATGGGCAAAGCCAGGCTGAACTCATCACAGAATTTGCAATCCCAGGGTATAACAACACACAGCAAAAGACAGCGCACAAGATGGTCCCTTAGAAATGTGTCACTCGTAACATACATGCCAATGTCAGGGAAAGCCAAACAGAGGCTGAGAAAACTGCACCTTCTGGTTTTCAATCACTAACTTTTCCTTCTGATTACAAACATGAAGTATGTGTTCCTCAGGGAACATATGGAAAATGCGTAAGTATGTAAAACAGAAAATAACAACAGCAACAATAAAAATCATTCTGCTTTCAACACAAACCACCAACATATTTGTGTATTTCCTTAAGTTTTTCTGTTGAGTTAGATGTGCAAGCAAATGTGAAAGTATATTCATTTTTTATAGACTTGAGGTAATATCTATGGTATCGTATCCTGATATTCCCTGCTTTCTTCATAACGGTTTCTCCATATCATTGAAACCTTTTATGCAGATTCTTCATCCTATGTATACAGTATAATTTACTTACACATTCCTTTATATTTCAACAAGGAGGTTGCTTTTATTTTCTGCCATTGTAAAAACTGCTGTGCAAACATCTTTCTGCATACATCTTTGTCCCAATTTCTAATAGTCCCCTTAGCTGGATTCCTCGAAGGAGAAATTGTCAAGCAAAGGACATGAAGATTTTTTTTTTAAAAGGAACTAATATATTTTGGTAAATTGAAAAGTCCACTTTTCACTCCATGAAAACTTTCTTTTTGCACAGAATAGAACAAGACAAGCAGAATATAGGGTCTTAAAATAGAGAAAGAGTTCAAATAGTACAGGGCCAGGTAGAGCCAGGTGGATCTGGGGAGAACATGGGGTGTGCTTTGGCAGAGGGAGAGCGTTCACATGAATGACAGCAGCTGGGGTGGTTTCACAGGGAAGGTGGCCTCAGGACTGAGCCTGCAGGACAGGGAGGGTTTCCACCAAGGAGCCAAGAAGGGAAGGGGAAGAGGAACAGTCAGGGAAAGAGAGGAGACAGACTCCGGATGTCTCTGCAGAGCAGGTGCGAGAGGACTGGGTCTCCACGCCACCCTGGCTGCTCCCCATGTCTCCCTGCAGGCTGTGGGTTCCCCGGGCATGGAGTGCCCCACACCGATGCCGATTCCTGCCTTGTGCCCTAGCCTGCCCTTCTGTCCTGAAATACCTCCGACCTCCAGAGCCTACATGGCCTGTGAGTATGACTTAATCGTCACCTTCCTGACTCAAGCCTGGACTTGCTCCTTCACACCTGTCTCCAACTCAGGGCAGGGGCTGGCACTGGCTGTCCTTGTTCTCAGTCTGAGCCCAGAGTCTGGCCCAGGGAAGTGCCGGGGAGCACATGTAGGAGGCACCAGAACTCCTACTTAGATTCTTACTCCGGTGCAAAGTCCCCCAAACTGGCTGTAAAGTAAACCCCAAGTGCTTATTAAACATCCAGATTCCTGGGCCCCATTCCCATGCAGAAGGCCTGGGAATCAGTGTTTTTGACCAGCCCTCAGGTGATTCTGCTGGGTGGGATCCATTGACCAGCCTTCCTCTGTCAGGGCCTGGTGGCATTTCCAAGTCCTTTTGGAAGTGTGTTCCCTTCCTGCTCGGGAGCATTGGGTCTGAGAAACACAAAAAGGCATTGGAAAAGAGTTCCAGGGTTAAAAAGTAGGGATGGCTGAGGGCTTTTTCCCTTTCTTGATGAGTCACAATGCACATGGACGTAGTTAAGGTTCTGGAAAGTTCTGCATAGCTAAAACATTTGAGGTGCACCTCTCCTTGGCAGTGTGGAAGTGTGTCCCACCAACCCAAGTTGTAGACCCCATAATAGAAGACTGAGCAGAGGGACGGGTGGAATCTCAGCCCAGTGGGGCCAGTGATTCCCTGGCACGTCACATCCTGTCCCCATCCCTGACCCCCACCACCATGCGGGGATCCTGTTTGCTTTCATAAGAAGGTCAGGCCTGTGTCCATGGATATCAGGGCTGTGTGTCCCCTGATGTCACAGGCAGCAAGTCTCCATCAACCACCAGGAGGTGACCAGAGGTGAAACGTGGGGTCAGAGTTAGGGGATCATCCAAATTGACTATAAATTCCCTTAAAAATAGGTTTCCTTTTATGAGTAAAGCATTGATAAAAGTGTGAGAAAGTGTTAGTCTCTCTGTCCACATTTTAAATGACACAATTTGAATTCAAAAAGGCTAAATAAGGCTTTTAAAAGAATCCCAGCGACACTCACCAGTGTATCTCTGTAATCCATGTCACAAGCACAGGTCACGGGGTAGGTAAACTCCTTTGGGCAGTAAATCCCAAGTTAGCACAATAATTTATGGAGGAGAGGGGTGGCAGGTGGTTGAATCTGAGCTTTTGACCTTGAAAGATTCACCCAACCAGGTGGGCAGCACATTCCTTGTCTGAGCTCAGAGGACTGGCCTCAAGTCCTCTGCAGCTGTGACACTATCAATGCTCACAGGGATCGCTGGCATCCCCCCTCCTGTGGAGAGAGAGTGGGCACCCACCTGTGGGTGCTGAGGGCGCCTGGCCGGGGTCCGAGCCTTCCATTGGGGGCGGAGATCTGAGCAGCAGGCTGTGATGGTGCCTGCAGCATAAACACAGGGGCTCAGGTATGTGGCCCTCCCGTCCCCAGAGCCACCCCAGGGGTCTCAGAATTTAAGTCCTGACCTGTTCCTATCCATCTTTATCTGTTCATCCTATAATATTTGTTGAGGGCACCCTGTGTGTCCCGCACTGTGCCAGGTGCTGGGACAGAAAGCAGATGCCATCTGGGTTGTCCCAGAGAGCCCCCTCCAAGACACCTCACTACTTTCTGTATCATGTGGGTGAAAGCAGCAAGAGAGCCTATTTCCACTCTTTCAACATTTCCTTCAATATTTCCCACTTTAAAAATACAGAGGTCAGTGCTGAATGGAAGTGAAGGACCCGGCCATTAGGGACAGAGCTGAGCACGTGGCTTCATTTGGAAAGCCGAGTGGTAATGCCTGTGTTGTGGGCTTTTGTGAAAGTAAGGAGCTACTCACACCAAGCCCTGGCACATCCTAGCCCCCAGCTAGCTCTCTAGAGACACCCTGCTCTTAGTATAAACCAGTGCTTTAAAATGCAGCAGGGTGATGACTGAGAGCCAGGGCTTGGAGTCAGATAGCCTGAGGGGAGTCCCAGCTCCCCAGAGGCTGTGTGACCCTGGGGCAAGGATTCCGGGTCTTTGTGAATGGTTCTGCAAAGAGGAGGTGATGACAGTGCCCACCTCTGATGGGCAGTCCTGGAGATGAAGAGTTAATGGATGCACTGAGCATTTTGGAGAGGATTAGACTTGCACCCACTGGGCATGCTCAGCGTTTTAAGCCATCTGTCTTCCTTAAACCTGGAGGTACCTGCACCTTCTTCTCTTATGGAACACAGGAAATCACCATACACGCTTTCCTGCATGGACCCAATCTTCCCTCTTCTTATTTTTATACATTTGCTAGAGCCCCCTGTGGGAGGGGGCGGAGCCTGGTGGAAAAGCACATGCTCTGCAGCCAGAGCATGTGGGTTCAAGTTCAAGTGCAAGCCAAGTGCTCTGAGAACCTGGATGAGTTACTGACACTTTCTGAGCCTCACTGACCTCATCTGTTAATTGATCATGAAAGTTCACTCGGCCTCATCTGCAGCACATATCATAAGACCACAGAGAAAGTGCCCTACCCTGCAAAAGGCTGGGGAAGTGGCCCCTGCTGATTGGGACCAGGAGGAGGCTTGGCGGAACAGGAAAGCTTAGCCCATGCAGGACCTGCTCAATAGAGTTCACCTGTTGTTATGGTAACACTCCTCAGTCTGTCGTCCCACCAGACTGTGAATAGGGACCTCATTTCATTCACCTTCATATTCTTATTTCCTTAGAAAGTGCCCACTTGCAGTCTCCTGAACTCAGGAGCCAGGGAAGGAGTGGGTACGTGAAGACATCTCACCCTGGCCCAAGGCCCTTCGACTGCTTCAGAGACTCGGCTGAGTCTCCCCAGGGCCTGGCTAGGCTGTTTCCATGGCTGTCTGTCTGCGTGGCTTGGAAAGCTTCCTCTCTGAAGGTGTGCCCCGGCTTGGTATGCACCCACTCTTCAGACTGAAGTAGGTTTGAGTCCCCGCTCTGCTTTCTGACTGTAGGACTTTGAGAATGTTGCTGAGCCTTCCAGAGCCTCCATCCCCCCATCTGTAAAATGGGGCTGAACCCAACCTCTCAGAGTTGCAGAGCTTACTAGAGACATGTGCGTGATGGAGCCTGGCATGTGCAGTAGGCGGGGCCTTAAGGTAGTGATTGGCATCTCGTTTTACTTGTCTCTAAACTCCAAGTTGTCTCTACTTTGAATCTTGGCTCTCTGGATCTTGTTGTTCAAATGATGACCTTCAGTACCAAGTGTGCTTTCCCTGTGGACTTCCTCTCTGTCTCTTGGGCTGGGGGCCACCAGCACTGGGCCTGTGACTTGATGCTGGCAGCAAGCTCCCTGTGTCCCCAGCAGCCCCCTGATCTCCAGGGAAGCCTCTTCAGAGGGTGAGAATGGCAAGAGCAAAGACAGCTACCTCATGCTCCCAGCCGGCAGGTCACTGTCCTTGAAGATGGCCACGGCATGGCTTCAGAGTGGGGCCGACTGGAGTGCCACCTCCTGCTGATTTGTGTGACTGTGACTAACTTAGCCTCTTAGTATTCTCATCTGTGAAATGAGGACAATTTAAGATCATGCTTGGAATGGACAAAGAGGACAGTGGGTTGATGGGCCACAGGAGCTGGCACCGTGAGACCCTCCTGCCCACAGCTCCCAGAAAAGGAAAGCTGCCAATGCCCTGAGGACATGAAAGTGGCCGAGATTAAAAAAAATAATAATAATAAAAAATAAGCAATCTGGAAAAAAGAAAAATAATCTTCAATAAGTTCCATGGGGAATTGATACCACTGTGAGATTCATCCTGATGCCATTTGCTACTGTGTCACTGTGGTATGGATCCACCGTGGACTCTACCAGAAGGAGACTCAATGGAGCAATGATGGGACCAGTTCCTGCTGTGCTGCCCACACCACCTGACTTGACCATTTTAACCAGATTTTCAACCTTTAGAAGATCTCCAATCATCTCTCCGTGAAAACTGTTATCTACATCATGATTCTCAACCATGGCAGCGCATAAATCATCCGGGACCCTTACCCACACTTAAGAGTCCACCCCAGCAAACCCAAACCTCTGGGATGCGGGTGAGCATTTTAAAAAAAGTTTTCCAAGTGATCCCTGCAGCCAGAGCTTTTGACCACTGCCCTTGAGTGGACCTCAGTTTAAATCAGAAGTGAGTTACATGCTCAGTGACCGAGTCTGGGGGACTCAATACTAGCCACACATTAGCATCATCAGGGAATTCTTCAAAATTTCAGTACCCCACCCCCGACCATTGATATCACAGCCACCTATATTTTTCCACGCTCCCCAGGTGGTTCCAATGTGTAGCCAGCGGTAGAATAAAGAATATAGTAAAAAAAAAAAAAAAGAAAAAGAAAAAGAAAGAAAAAATACAAAGAGTGTGTGCAGTAAAATCGTGGCTCACACCTGCATTTTGCAGCAGAAGCATGAGTGACATTAAATTACTCTGGTCACTGCCTGCGTATCCATAAATGACGGACAGGCTCTGAGGAGAAGTCATGTCAGCCTCATGTTGAGGATGCAGAGAGGGGAGCTGGCATTATCCAGCACCTCCCATAAACCAGGTCGTTTGCTGCGTCATCTCAGAATCCTGTGCGGTAGGTAGGTGACGTCACCCATTTTATTAGGTGAGGAATGGAGGCTCAGGGAGGAGGCCATGCTACTTACACCGAGTCATTCCACTGGTCAGTTTGGCTTCAAAGCCTGTGCCCTCTGCAACCTGCCTCTCTAGGGTGGCGGGGAAGGCAGATCCCTGCAGGCTAAGTGATTTGTTGCGTCATCTATTGTCTTGCTTCTGTTCCCCTCTGTTAGCCTGGATAAATGAGACCATGACTCATTCTAAAAGGATGATCTAGGTGCAAATTTATTCCTTGTGCAGTTTTCAATATATGAGCCTTTGCTTATCCCAAGGGGTGGTTAAAAAAAAAAGGGTGAACACATCTTGACAAGTATTTCCTATTTGCTCTCCTTTTGGTTCAGCAGCAGCTTCTGAAGTGGCACTATAACTGGTGACTTGCTCCTAGCTGTTCTTCCCCAGCAGAAGGTGAAGTCATTGGAACCAGCACATGCAGTCTCCATGTTTACCTTTACTCAAAACGTGAACAGTTTCCTTCCAAGTGCCTCCGCAAATAAGTAAACAACCGAGGCTGAACACATTATGGGCAGGGCTGCCAATGAGTTGACTTGTCCCGTGTTCCTCCCATTCCGTGAAAATCCTGGTGCTTCCAAATAGAAGACCCCACCTGCAGCCTGCAGTCCCTGCTACGAGCTGGCGGTGGTGACCGATGGTGACAGCCAGGGCAGATGAAACTCCCTGTTTCTCCCCCAAACACCCTGGTCCTGGGCTTGGAAGAGCTATGTTACTTATGTTGAACACTAACAGCAATTTCAAAAGATAGACAGGAAAAAAAATCTTGAGTAACTATTTCTAGATTCACAGTCTTTCTTTTTTTTTCTATTCTACATAAAAGTCTAGATTTAGAGAACCTATGATTTGTGCAAGCAAAAGAGCTTATTGTATAGATTCAATTCCCAAGCTAGTCAATGACAAAAATAATCATAATGAAGGTTATTAGGCTGTTCAAGGTCATGAGAGTTATTTACATTGAAAAAAAAAATCCTCATTAGATTTTATTGTCCTCAGTTCACAAGTAAGAAATAGGTCTCAGAGAGGTTAAGTCACTTGATCAGAGTCACATAGAAACTGAGTGATGGCCCAGGGCCTGATGCTACAGCTCTCTGACAGAAGATTAGGTGGGTCTCCCCACAAGTGCCTCCTGATGGACAGTGGCTTGGGGACTTCTCTGAAAAGGTGACTGTCGGTCTCTCTCACTGGAGACACTTCTCAGACCTTGGCTGAAGAGGTCTGGCTGAGTCCCACTCTGCTCCCCTTCCCTCTCTTCCCCCACAGACCCTGCAGGTCATGGCACAAGAGCATGACTACCTTTACCTCAGCACCTTCACCGTCTCCATCCACTGTGGCTGCTCGCTCTCCCAGGGGTCCACACGGATCCAGTCGGATGTCTGCAGGGCCAGCCGGGCCATGGCCACTCGGTGATGAGAAGCCACCAAGTCCTTCTTCCCGTAGTCATCATTGACAGGTGAGATGATGCCCTGGGTCACCTGGTACATTCCTAGGCAGGAGAGAACTGTGATGCTGCATGTCCAGACACATGCTTGCCACCCTGTGGTGTGAGTCCAGGCAGGTGCTAAGACCTCTGCCTGTCCTGAGTGGGGGCGACCCTGGCATGCTCTCCTTCATGGGCCAACAGCAAGAGCAAGGGTATCTCCTCCGTGATCTTGTGCCTCCCTGACAGTCTTCTACAACCCCCTGCAGTACTTTTATCGAGAGGAAGGCTGCAAGGGCGGAGCCCCCAGAGCAATGGGCCCACAGAGCCAGATACCAGAAAATGCTGGAAGACTGGGTGCAGGGGGCACACCTGTGATCCCAGAGACTTGTGGGGCTGAGACTGGAGGATCGCAAGTTTGAGGCCAGCCTCGGCAACTTACTGGGGACCTTTCTCAAAATAAATTTAAAAGTTTTAAAAAGTTGGGGAAGGGGGCTGGGGATGTAATTCAGTGGTCAAGTGGCCCTGGTTTCATTCCCCAGTGCAAGAAATACAAATGTTTGAGGAACATCATGAGGTCCTCTGTGGGAGACAATGGATATGTGTAGTTTCTTAGTCCAAATCAGGCACTGAGGCTGCAAGGTGTAAGATGGGATGCAGCATGGAGCAGGGTTGGGGGATAGTTGGGTGGACTGACTTTGGAGGATCCTGCTATCAGTGGAAGGAGAGGCCTGTCTTGGAATAGCCATGGGCTGTGCTCATCTGCCACAGAAACTCCCTGTAGACCCCGTGAACCTGCATGGGATCTTTCTGATGGGAGATAACTTAAGTGTATTAAGCCCTTGACACTTGGCCTTTCTTCTGAAGCTGAGTCTACTTGATCTGGACAGTGTTACTTTTAGAGACATTCTCTATTTCTAGCTCAAGAGTCTCTGACATGCAAGAATATTGGATTTTATCATTTTATCCCCCCCCGCAACTGTTGAAATGATGGTGCAGTTTTTCTCCTTTGGTCAGTTAATATAGTGGATTGCACTGATTAATTTTCTAGTCTTAAAACTAACATTTGCATTTCTAGATAAACTGATACCGATGGCTTCATGTTGCTAGTTACTTTTGGGAAGGAAGACGGCTCTATAATTCTTCGTCTTATGGTCTGTTATGGTTTGGATGTGAGGTGTCCCGCCCTCCACCCCCGGCAACGCTCCTGGGTTAATGCAGAAGTGTTTGAAGATAAAATGGGTGGACTCTGAGAGCTATAACCTAATCAACCCAACTGAGTTTGGACTAACTGTCTGGTAAATGTAGGCAGGTGGGATGTGGCCGGAGGACAGTGGGTCAGTGGGGGTGTGCCCTGGAAGGGTGGACCTTCCCTGGGACCCCTTCCCCTTTCTCTCTTTGATTCCTGGCTGCCATGTCCTGAGAAGCTTCCCTCTGGTAGGCCTCCTGCCATGGTGTGCTGCCTCATCTTGGTCTTAGAGCAATGGACTCAGTCAATCATGGATTGAACCTCTGAAATAAAAACCAAAATAAACTTTTCCTCCTCTAAATTCTTGTCAAGTATTTTGGTCACAGTGACACAAAGCTCACTAACAGAGAAACTGGTACTGGGGGTAGGGGAGTTGTTGGGAAGGAAGATGGGTCTATAATTCTTTTACAATCCCTGACCATGTGGTTCAGAGGCATTTGGAACTGGTTTGTGGAAGGAGTTTGGAAAAGTTTGGGGATGCAGAATAGATAAATCTTAGATTGCTGTAAGCAAAGCTTAATGGGAAATTCTGGTGGGAACTCAGAAGACCAGAATTCCCATAGGAATGTGGACTATGCTCATGAGGATTCAGAGGAAAATGAGGAATCTAGAGGGAACTGGACTAGAGGCTCTTCACGTGACACTCTGGCAAAGAACTTTTCTACATTTCCTATGTCCTGAGACTTTGCCTGATGCTGAATTTTAAAGCAATGGGATAATTAATCTGGTGGAGGAAATTCTAAGGCAGCATAGCATTCAGTCAGTGGCATGAATTTTGCTAGAACCTTTTAGCCAAATTTACTGGGAGAATCAGGAGTGGAAAGCAGAGCTGAATAAAAACTTGCAGTTTGACCAAAAGAGTGCATTTAAAATTGAGGACAAGAAAGGTGTGACTGTTGAAGAGATGTTAGCCATGAAAGAGATGCTAAGTACTTCACATAGAGGAAAAGAAGGCTTGAAGGCATCTCAGGAATTTGCATGATGGCACCCATTGCAGGCTTAAGGATGTAGAAGGAAAAATTCCTTTGAGAAGAGATCCTGGTGATGCCCTGCTTGCACAAGGGGTCCTAGGAAATTTTTGTCACTGTGCTCAGCCACCCAGGTACTGAGAGGGTAGTGCAGATGGCTAACATGACAGGGGCCACCATGAGCTGGTAGCAGGCCTCGGCATCATCCACGTGCTGCTGGTTCTGCGGGAATGAAGGAAGCTGAAGTTAAGCCACCATGGAGGGTTCCACCAGGAGTTTGAGGAAAGATCTGGGAGTGCCAGGCAAGGTGGAGCAGGGTCAGCATTTGTGCAGGTTGCCCTGAGAGGGTGATAAGTGACCCTGTGAAGGTGGGGACGAAGCTGGAAGGCAGACCCTAGAAATTAAAAGATGCCAGTAACATGGACTATCCGATGAGAAAATCTGCTGGCTGCGGAGAGAACCAGACTAAGGGAGAGACCATAAGCACAGCAACTGGCAAGGCCAGAGCCTTCCCTAAGCTTCCAAAGCCCTTTGGAGAGAACATCTTCCCCCAGGTATCCAAGAGGCTATAGGTGGTGTTAAGGGACCTGTTTGCCTGCAGGTTTTCAGTCTTGTTTGGTCCTACCCCTTCTTTCTAAGCCCCTATTCTTCCCTTTTGGAATGATAACATTTACTCTGTGCCACCGTGTATTGGATATATGTAATTGCTTTTGATCTTTACAGAGGCTCACTGCCAAGAGTCTGCCTTGAGTCTCAGAAGACATTTTGAACTTGGATTTGGGGAGATTCTGCTAAGACTACGGGGTCTCCTGAAAATCAACTAAATGCATTTTTCATTATGTGGTGGACATGAGCTTTTGGGGGCCGGGGGTGGAATGTCATGGTTTGGATATGAGGAGTCCTCCAAAATATCCTGTGTTAATAATACAGGAATGTTCAGAGGTGACATGGTTGGATTGTGAGAGCTGTAAACGAATCCGTCCATCCATGTCTGAAGGGCTAACCTTGTGGTAACTATAGGCTGGTGGGGCCAGGGCTGGAGGTGGTTGGTCAGTGTGGGGGCTTGCACTGGCAAGGTGCACATTCCCTGTAGTCCCTTCCCTTTCTCTCTTTGTGATTCCCAGCTGCCATGTCCTGAGGCAGCTTCTCTCTGCACACTTTTCCTCCACGATATGCCGCCTCACCTTGGACCCAGAGCAATAAACTCGGCTGACCATAAACTAAACTCTTGACACTGTGAACCGACTTAAAACTTTTCCTCCTCTGAGTTGTTCTTGTCAGGTTATTTTGGTGACACCAAGTGACCCAAAGCTGGCTAACCCAATGTCCTGATGAGGTTTTGGTATCAAGGGGAAGCCAGACTCATACAGAGGGTTGAGGAATTTCCTCTTTATACCCCGACAGGGCTCCTGTGGAGGACTGAAGTAACATTTTTTTTTTTTTCTTTGCTGCTTGGTGGAGCTCACCAGTGAAGTCTGATGAGGCTTGGATCTAATTTGTGGGAACATCATTGACAATTGATTCGATTTCTTTAATGGTTAGAAGATGATTCAGATTTTCATTTCTTCATTATGATTTTTGGCAACTTGGATTTTTCTAGGATTTCTGTCCACTACATCTAACATTTGAAATTTATTGGCATAAGTTTCTTCATGCTGTTCTCTTATCTGTTCAGTGTCTGAGCCATCTGTACCGATGGCTTTTCTCATTCCGAAGGCTGCTTGCATCCCTTTCTTTTTCTTTGCACAGTATTACTGGAGGTTTGTTATTTTATTAGTCTTTTGAAAGAACCAACTGTTGGCATATTGATTTTTCTCTCCTGAATGCTTCTTTTCTGTGTTCCACCAAATTCTGTTCTTATTTTTATTAATTCTATCCTTCCACTCTCGTGTTGTTACTTTGCTGTTCTTTTTCTAACTTCTTGTGATATGTGCTCAGCTAATTAATTTGCAGTTTGTTCTATTTCCTAAAATACACAGTTCAGGCTTTAAAAATTTCCCTCTGAGCACATTTCTACTTGCATCTCAGAAGCTTTGATAGAGAGTGTTTTCATGACCGTTTGGTTCAAAATACTTTCTAGTTTTTATTATGATGTCTGATTTGATGTATGAGTTATTTGGAGGAATCATTTTTTCATTACCAAACATATTGTGACATGTGGGTTATAGTTTTGGTATTGATTTCCAATTTAGTTCCACTCATAATCAGAGAACATACTCTAAATTGATTCGATCATTTGCAATGTGTTGACTCTTGCTTTATGTCCCAGTATTTGGTCAGTTTTGGCAAATGCTTCATGTGTGCTTGGAAAGATTTGTATTCTGTGATTGTTTGGTGTAATGATTTGACCATTCAGTTAAGATTACTCATTGTTTTGTTTATATCTATATTCTTACTGATTTTTTTTGGTCCACCTGACCTGCTGTATTAATCACGTTAGAAAAATCTTTTACTTTAGATTTTTTTCTATTTTTCCCTTTAGTTCTTTCAACTGTTGTTTGATATATATTATATCTATAATTCATATGTCTTATATCTGTATCTTTATGTGAATTGAACTTCTTTATCTCTGGTAAAATTATGGTTTTCTAAAATTCACTTATTTTTTGTGATAATATAGGCTCAACAGCTTTCTTTTGGTGAGTATATTTATGGTGTATTTTTTCCACCTTTCAATTTCAATGTCTATACTTCTGTTTAAGCAAGACTTTGTAAATAGCCCATGAAAACATTTTAATGTCAACTTGGCAATTTTTGACTTTTAACTGAAACACAGGTTTATTTATGTTTAATGTGAATGCTAATATTTGAGTTCAAAGGTACCATCTTATTTTATGTTTTCGTCACCA